ATTCATAAATGAAAAAATTTTTTTTCTGAAAATATCTGTGTTTTAATAATTAAATTAATAAATTGAAGAATCAATTTGAAAACACACTTAAATTTAAAAATGTATTTTATATCAAAATAATATCTTAAACGTATTTTAATTTTATTATTTTATTGTATTTTATTGTATTAAATTTAAAAATGCTACCTCTTTCTAATTAAAAGCAAAAATCAATAAATCAAAATTGCACTGTAAATGATAAATAAATATTAAAAAAGCCTGATATCAAAGTATAGACAACTACTAAAATCAATCTGAATTCTTGATTTTAATCAATAATAATTGTAAAAAAAAGAATAATAAAAAAAGTAATGCCTGTTATTATGGCGCAGTTACTGCGGTTATTACAGGTGATTTATTTGGTTCTCCTAATGATAGTTTGTTTAATCCTTTTGATAATAGTTCATTTAATAAAAGTTCATTTAGTTCTCCTGATGATAGTGATTCATTTGATCTTTCTAATGATAGCAGTTCATTTGGTATTATTATACCTTTTAATAATGATGAAACAACTGGTAGCAAGATAAATTTTGAATTCTATGATGAAGAATTTAGTGAAAAATAATGGGATAATGATGAAGACAGTAGTTAGAATGATGATGATAATACTGAAAAAATACAAAATCTAAAAAATAAAGACCTTAAATTAGTATGAAAGAAAAATAGTGAACTAGAAAAGATAAAATGTGATCGATATATGATGGAAAAAACTTCAAGATCAACTGACCAGTTTATTTATTAAAGCAGTTGTTAATACTAAAAAAATATAAATTTTTTTAAAATTAGTGATTAAGCTGCAAATATACAACTTAATGAAATAGAACAAATTTTAAACGATTTAGAAGATAAAGTTAATAATAAAAATACTTACCAAATTGATAAAAAAATACAAAATCTAAAATAATAATTAAAAAAGCAATATAATCAAATGATTATCACTGAATATAATAATAAATGAGTTGTCTTTAAATATCTTATCTACTTAAATAATAAAAAAATGCATGCTAATTTAGAAGCAGCTAAAATAGTTTTTATTAATGAAAAGCATAACGCATCTGATATTATACAAACTATTGGTTATTTAATAACAAATTTTCAGTATCTAGACATGAAAAATATCAAAAAACTATTGAATTGATTGATAATGAAGATATAGCTAAAAAATGCTGAACTTAGATTCATGAGCAAAATTTTAAAGCCACGCTAATTACATTTAAAGAATTTGTTGAAAAAGAGCTATTATCTAATATTAGAGTTACTAAGAAAAAATCTATTTCTTTAATGATTCAAGATATATATTATGATAGATATGAATGAGATGATATTTTACAATGTTGCAAAGTATTTTTAGAAAAAATGTTTGAATATGAGAAATATATGTTTAAATATAAAGATGAAATAATGAAACATATATATCCTAATTTGTCTGAAGGAGAAAAAGAATGAATTCTTGTAACTAATAATAAATGCATTTTTATTCTAATGATAACAAACGTGAAGTATGAGCTAAAAATGAAGAACTATCATTACGAAAAAAAGGAAATGAAAGATCTATAATAGTTAGTGAATTTTTTATTGAGATTGATAGATATTTGTGTTTACAACAAATCAATATATTGCAAAATCCAAATACATCAGGAGTTTATATATGGTGATTATTGTTAGAAATCATAAATTATAAGTAATACCCAATAATATACATATAGATATATTTAAAAAAATGTATTTATAAAGATCTGCGTCTTAAAAAAATTGCTTAAATATGTATTTATAATAATTTATAACTGAGAAAATATTTTAAACTATAATTACAATAATCTATATTTTAAAAATTATTTTAAATATGCGATCAATTAAAAAATTGCTTTAAAATACAATAGCGATGATCTATGTTCTAAAAAAATGCAATGATTCACATCTTAAATATAATGATAATCTATAAGCTAGAAAAGATACCTATTCATTAAAAATTGATTTTCTTTATGAAATCTTGGGATAATATAAACAGCGTGAGATATAGAATCTAATAGCACTACATTATATTCTTACAGCATCCTTAACTGAGGATAACTATAAATTTCTGTTAGCTCACGATCTCCTCTTTTTAGTTCACAATAGTCGTACTATTTCACCATAACAAAAGTGAAAGTTGCAATTCTGAACAAGCTATTAACAAATAATTCACCAAGCAATAATATCTAATTTTAAGATATAAAGAATTCTTTAAGATAAGTATGAATAAAATTAATAAAAGTTAATATTGTTATTTACTTTTCTAAAGCATGCTTCTTGATCAGTAGTATAATGGATAGTCTCATTTGTGTTTATTACAATTGCTACATTGTTGAACCATGGAGTATTATTATATTATACATCTGTACAGATAATATCTATAGATTGCAATATTATACTCTTATATAAGCGTATAAAATTATCATCATTATCTATAGAAGTTATAGAAGTGTTATTCAGAAAAGTATCAAGAGAATCAATTAAGTTTTCCAATCCCTCAATTTGCAAAGAATTCATCAATCCTAATTGCTGAAAAATTTGCAAGCATTCTTCAAATGATAAAATATACACATCTTGAAGTTTACTCGACAGTATTTCACATTTTCATATTTTATTTGTCCCATAGTCTCTAACATGGATTTTTTTTGAATCTAAGTTAAATATATAAGTTTTTATTAATTTTACTAAATTTTTTTAAAAAACAATCAACATTTCTTACTTTATTTAGAATCTGATTCATAATATTCTTTTTATTACTCTTTTTATAAGAATTTTTAACGTAGAATTTATGTAGAGTTTTATATGTATCTGTTGTGAATCCGTTGATTGTTTCAAATCGACGAATTGCAGGAATCACATAGTATCTCTAGGAATGTAACTTTAGTAAATGCATATTGCTAATACTAAATTGAGAGAATATCGCCACAAATTTACAATTCTATTTTATAATCAAATTTTACAAAGAATAATATAGTTTTAATAAATTGAGTTATAGTATACAAGATTTCTAAGCAAAAATTTTATTAATATTTAATAAATTAGATATATATCTCAAATATGACCAGATTATTATCTGAAAAATCTTCTTTACAGCTCATTAGATACATTTGAACAATATATTAAAGTTAATCAAACTGAAGATAATCTGTTGATCTTTCTCATCAAACAAACTATCAACTATTAAGATTATCACTTTTATTATCATTCAATGCTCATTTGCTATTTGTACAACAGTTATTCCATTCTTAAAGATTTTCAATTCTGGAAACCTTGGAATTGCTACAAGTCGATTGTTGAATTCTTCAATTGTCCATTTTTTACACTGTTTTATCAACAGCTTTTGCGTATAATCTAACATATATCCAAAAAGACCCAGATCTAATTGGTGTATCTGATTAGGCAAAGTTACTTCATAGATATTTAGGCTCCTTTAACAAATATAAATATAAAAATATTAAAATTTTGATTTTGCAAATATTTCGACATATTTAATTTTTTATTTACGGAAATTTTCAGAAAATATATTAGGACACAGTCTCATACAATTAGATGATTTATAAATGGATATAATAGTATTGGCTTCTAGCATATCCATAAGAAACATAGAGATTCTAGAAGAAAATGTAATTTGTACTCAATTAATAATTAGTTTCATTTCTTCAAGTTCTAGAATAGGGCACAGCATGATATTCTAACATTATTTCATAACTCTACGTGTAATTGTTCGAAATAATTCGAATTTCTAGTTGCCAAATGTTTACTTTGAAGTATTGGTAAATATCTTAATAATACTTTAGCATTTTTTTTTATTTTTTTGCTAAGAAGAAATGTTGCCCAAAGTAATAAAAATGGAACGTTATTGAATTTTATCCAAATTGTCATAGAAAGTCGCATCAGAGTACAATATTATTGACAATAATCAGCTTTCAAATTTTAACTTAGATTTTACCTATTACCACCAATCACAATTATACTGTTCAGCAAAAACTCGAGAAAAGCTACTATCCTATAAAATGTATTAGATTAGATATATAAGTTATTTAACAAAGATAAATATAATTACATACTATATTTTCTTTTCTTTTTCTTCAAATTTAAACGTGAAATATTTAGTCATATCTGAAGTGCTTTGATAGTTTTTTATTATTGGAAGGTAATGAAGATTATATGATATATTTTCATAATCAATAATATGTTTTTTTTTAAAATTAAGATTTGGTGTTACCATTAAGTTCATATATTTATACATCTCTTTGGAACTTTTTGGTAAAGGCGATACTTCCAAATTTGCATATTTGTTAAAGAAATAGATAAAAGAATCTGTAACTTAATTTGTTAAATCGTAATTAACACAAATTTTTGCAAAGACTTAATAAATCTCATTAGACCATTGTGGAATTTGATCTTCAATTATCTCAATTGCTGCATTTTCAAAATTAGCCTCATAAAAGTCTTCAAAATCTACTGAGTCAGTTTTTGCATTAAAATTTTCTATAATAGAATCATCATCATTATTATATTTTGTTAAAGAATTATCTGTGGTAGAATCGTCTACAATTCCTATACTATTATAATTAGTTTCCATATCTTCTTTAAAAATGTTATCTTATATTTCAATTATGTCTAAAGTAGAGTTAAGAAACTGTAATATATCAACTATTGAAATATTATTTGAATTCTTTGTATATTTCAAATTAGTAATAGTATCATTTATCTAATAAGTATATTGAAATATCTTTTGTATTTTTAGAACCCTACCTCAATATTAAATAATTTCAAATTTTTAAACAATTCATTGTCTTGAAAAATGTCTGCATCTTGATCGCTAATATAAGTTTGTACATTTAGATAATTTTCTATATAAATATGTCAGTTTTGAATATATTTTGATAATCCTTGCTATTTTGTAAAAGTTCTATGACATTCTTCATAAGAACAACGCAAACTCATTGTATTATAAATTATTTTATTAAAAATATTCTTTTGTCTTTGTCTTTAAATTTTAAATTATGATTTTACGGATTTAAATATTTCATAAGCTCAAACAATATAAATCAGTAAATCAATAAGTATGATTATATTAAGATTTCAATAAACTTCTATTATAATACAAATTGATAAATCAATATTAAAATTTAAATCATATGAAACCATAATAATGATATCAATATTAACTTTTTTTTTAAATAAGTCTATAAAATAATGAGATCATTAATATAAATTC